TTCGCAAATCTATGATGACATTACAATTGCTATGGTAATAAATTAGTTTAGTTTGATTATTTTTCATTCAAATGCTAAAAAATTTTTTTTAATTGACTTTGTATTTCTGTTTTTCTCGGAGAAAACAAATTAAACCATTCTTTAGAAACAACTTTTGGGTGGCAAGAATTGTTTACAGCAGAAAACATCAGTGGCACGAATTCAAATAGGGTTTTATCTATAATTTATATTAAGCCTATAGTTATCCTGGTAATAACTGTTCTCTGGAATGTTTTATTCCTGACGTAACTATGGTTAGTTTCAATTCACTAAAATGAAGCTTGTGGCATGGCTTATCAGAACATGCTGCTCTTTACGATTAATGTAGTTAATCAGTCTCTCTAATGTCTTAAATCTTATGCTTTCATGCTTCTGTCAAATTTCTTACAATTTAGAGCGCCTAATTTAAACAGTCCTGTTGTTGAAATTTCGAAAGGATCAGTTGTTCCATTATCTGTAAATTTTCATTTTACATATAAAAACTGAAAATGTCGTTTCCATTTCAACTAGTCCAGTTTATCTCTCAGTTAATATACCACAGAAAAGCTCCTGTCACAGTATTTGTACCATTCGAGAATGAAAATAGTGCTAATCATTTTTGAACATCAGTAATCGATGCAAACGAGCTTTTTCACAAGGTTTGGTAATCGGAAAAGAAAACAATGAGAGCAGTAGAATTTACTGAAACATAATTTACTTAAAATCATAAATAGATTCTAATTTGGAATAGAATTTTAAGAATTCCGATTATGTAACCGTTTCAAACATCATTCATTGTAACTGAGTAGTAAACAAATCATTTTAATTGATCAAACAATAAATATGCAGAACTTTTGAAGAAAATGGAATGAATTCAAACAATTTTAATAATACTTTTTTTTGAAGCACTTGCTAGATGTTACACAATCAATTTTGATTTATAAATTAATGGGAAAAAAATTATTCATTAAAAATTATCTTGTTAACTACAAAATTATTTTCATTCTTGTTTTTTTAATTTATTCAACTAAAGTTTAATGGTGCAAATTTAAAGGAAAAATTTAAAATGCATTTGATAAATACAAAGAACTGAAAAGTTCAAGCAAGCTGGAGAATTGGAAAGACATTTCTTAAATGAATGTATAAATATCACCTCACCTTTATTTTTAATATCCTTGCAAAGCATTCTTGAAATGATGCCATATGACTAATAACATGCATGTGAACAAAACATGTTTTCTGTTTTAATTAAAAATGCATTCTCAACTTGCAAACCTTGCAAACCTCTCATGAAAATTGTACGAGTAGTTGCGTGTTGCTTTGTTTTGCTTATATATTATTACTAATTTTGATTCCTTAACATTAATACTTATTCATTAAAATTTGAATAACTATTTAATGTGATAAGGATGCAGGGAAGTTATTGAATTTTCCAATGCTATTTAATGGCTTGAATAAGCTATGATTATTAAACCTAAACTTTACTGCTCGATCTAATTAATCAAAACTAATCCAATTTATGAGGATTGAAAATCTAATGAGAAACTTTCTAGAAGTATATCTTTCTCATGTTTTACCATGCTAAACTATGGTATTGCAATGGCCAATTGCGCATTAAGTACCATTCAAATGTTATTAAGCATCAAATTTTTCCTAAAGGATCACTTCAAAATATTAGCACATTTAATCGCTGAATTTTCTTTTATTTTATTTCATTATCTGGTCTGTCTAATTATAAGTTATGAAAAATTCTGAATATTGAAAAATGCAATATATGGTTGAATTTTTGACCTTTCTTTTTCTAAATTGTGATGCAAAATTATTGGGATATCTAAAAAATTAAAAGGAAAAAAAATAAAAAAAATTATGTTAAAAATTTTGGTAAAGACAGAACGAAGGTGAAAGTTTTTTCACAAAAATAATGTCTGAAATAAATTGCTTAGAAACTAAATTTTGAGCTAATGAAGAAGAAAAGTTTCATTGTTAGGAAACTTTTG